AGCAGAGTAGCTCAATGTGAACCCCCTCTTTCCAATTCTTGGAAGTGATATGGGAACGAGCATTATTAAGATAGTCGTCGACAATCAAGAAAAACCTACTTGTTTACGAGTAGAACAGTCATGGTCACGGTGTTTGGCCGGCTACACTGCAATTTCAAGACTAGTGAGGTGATTGATTTCTAAATTTTGGTGGACATGTACTTCTGTGAAGGTGTGCAGTTACCAGTTACACGTGTAAGCTTGTGGTGCGTATACTGTCTTTGTCACCAAAGAAAAGTCTGCAAGACTGCTGGTCACCCACGCACATAAAGGCTACACTGTAAATGTTGAATTATTACATTCGAGTGAGTCAACTCCCTGGATTCGGCAATTATCGAGAGACTAAATTTCACAAAATTTAATTTCTGCTAACAGTAGATATTTTCAGCCTAAGATAATAAACTACTACAAATTATAATTTTTTTTCTATATAAAAATTAGTTAGTACATTTATTTTGTAGACCTCGAAGAAATCTATTTTGATGCCCATGGGAAGCTCCAACCAATTCTCCACTTTCCGAATTAGCATAGCCTGAATTACGCTGTTTGACGAGCCGTTATTCTATCCGTTGTCTAACGTAAAATGGGATATTGATGAACTGGCCTAGACCAATGGCAAACACACCGGCGCCGCCTGGCCATGGAACAAGTGTGTCAAAGGTTTGCTCGCATTTCTGTCAAACACCGCAATATGACACAGCACAACAAAGGTAGTAGACAGTGGCGTACCAACTTGTTTTTGAGGTGGGGGGGGGGGGAGGGGGCAAACCAGCCACCCCCCGCCCCCCAGGGCCGGGGGTCAGTGCCCCTGGTATCCCTTGGGCACCGCCGGACAGTGTTTGCCCTGCCCAGTGGCGGTTGTTTCAGGGGGAGAGGGGGTAGGGGTCTAATTGGCCCCCCGGTTGGTACCCCCTTGCGCTCCCCCCCCCCCCCCCCCCCCCCCCGGGTTGGTACGCCCATGGTAGTAGACCAGTATATCTACGAAAGCCATTCGATGAGCTGTCCTTATTCGTGCCCACCTTTTCTGCGCGAAGGCTCCTAAACCGACAGTGCCTCTGCCAGGGGATGCACAACTTTTGCCACCTGGGCTGGCCTTGTTCAGAAATCTTTCTTCTACCGTAGTACCCACGGTTTAGCGCTCTCTGGGCGGCACCATTTTGTTCGACAGCAGCGCCCTCTCCATACATCCGGGAAGTTCAGCGGGTTCGGCGGAGTAAAACGAGAGAGAGGGCACGCGCCCGACTCCACTAGCAAACGACAAACCGGGAGGTTGCCATTCTCCATCTTTTGGGCTGTACCGGTGGGCTGTACGGGAACATCAAACTCTCGCTCGTGGTTGCCGTTGTGAAGTGGTTTGCGTTCTTAGAATAGTTATGGCTACTCCAAAATCAGCCTAGAGCTCTCTGTTCTTCTATTTCGGCAAATGATCAACTAGCATATCTTTTTCCCGTTACTTAAATAGCAGTTGAGTCAGCCAACAGTACTACCCTCAAATACTGCGTGTATTGCAGCAGGAGAGCACGTTTTTATTTATTATTTCAGACTTCCACTCATGGTCGCTAGAGGCCTACACCAGTACGAACTTTGTATAGTAAAAAAGGTGCAGCAACCGGATTTACTTTTCGCCAATGAGACCGGCCAATCTGACACAGTTTTCCCTTTTTTTTTTATTTGCACGCAGGTAACAGCGTAATTGGACCCTGTTAGTCTTTTTATCTAGCATAGTATTACACGATAACTGGCATACAAAAATCTGCGCATCTGCGCTTGAAATTTCCAAAATGTCGCGATTTATACAGAGTTTGTGCGCCAGCCGGATGCTAGGTACAGCCCACTCGGCGGAGCAGACGAAATACGGGTGAGAGGGAGAGGGCATTTTTTTCTCTTTTTACTCTCCCTGCTATGACCCTAATGGAACGGTCTATGTGTGGCCACCGATATATTAGGTCAGCTAGAATTGCTTACTACATTCATCTTTTTGGTCAACACCTTTCTATTAACCTCAAAGAAAAATGGAGGCGCCTCAGCCTACTCCTCAACACAAACCTTCAAAACCAAATGATTACAAGTTAACTGTTAATGGCAATGTCCTATTGGGTTCCGATTTGGCTACAGCGTTTAATTTTTTTTTTTTTTTCGCAGTAGGTAGCAGTTATTACAATCTTGACAGTTTCGGTTTCTTAGGCGATAGGTTACCGGGATCTTTATTTTTTGAACCAAGTGACGAATTTAAAGTTTCCTCGATTTGTAAAAGCCTAAAAGATACAAATAGCCCTGACTCACATAACCTGCAGTCATCCGATAAAATATGTGCTGCCAATAAGTTTACCATGTCTAACATATATATATAATATATAACGCAGCTCTTATGACGGGGCACTCCCCTAAGGATTTGCAGCTGGCAAGGGTTGCAGTGATTTATAAAAAAAAGCGACAGAAATTATTTCGGGAACTATAGGCCCATATCAGAACTTCCGCATTTTTCAAAAGGGTTAGAACGTATAATTGATTGCCGTTTAAGTAACCTTTTTCTTAAAACACTCTGTGATAGCTAATTGCCAATACGGGTTTACTAAAATATATCAAGGGAACATTGCCCCAAAAGTAACACATTTTGAATTACTTTGAATCGCAACTTCTTACTCTTCGTGTTTTTGTTGACTTCAATACCATAAATCGTGAAATTATTTTCGCTAAACTAGAGCATTACGGTGTACAAGGGTATGCCCTAAACCTTAATTAAGTCATATCTGAGCTCGCTGTTTCAATATGTTGCTATGAATCACTGCTCCTCAAATGCCTTTCAAATTTGCAATGGCGTCCCTCAGGATAACATTTTAGGGCCACTACCATTCAATGTGGGTATGTATAAATGATATTTCCAATATTAGCCCATTAGCAAAATGCTTCTCTATGCAGACGACACTAGCCTTTTCTTTTCCTCTTCTACTGTATTTACTCGAGTAATAGCCGCACTATTTATGAACAAGGCCCTTGCGTCTACTTTCCCTCAGAACACATATACAGCCAATCATTGCGTTGATTATAAATAACATAGCGAATAACCAGATCGAGAACACGATTCTCCATACAAATGCAATCTTCACAGATGGTATCTTCGCACGAAGACGTTATCTCTGTCTTGTAAACAGCTGGAATCATGCTATCGATCGCGGTGATTGGCAATCTGCGTGCTCCGCGGAAAAGCGAACCCCCAGGTGTTCTTCATAAACAGTGCGGCTATTACTCGAGTAAATACGGTAATATCGAACAACTGACCCTCATTGCAAACAGTGTATTGACATTATTAACGCAATGGCCATTTGTTAATTCGTTAAAATAAACCAATCCTAAAGCAATGTAGAGCGCAATTTCGTCTGCTTCTTTTGCAGGGGTTGTGGTGACGTCAGAACGCCAAGCTCTGATTGAAGGATAGTGGGTAGACCTCAAAGGTAGTGGCCTTAAGGGCTACCCACTATCATTCAGTGAGAACCAACCCCCTGCAAAAACAGACAAACTTGCGCTCCGCATAATTTTCCGCCCTAAAGATAAGCTTGAATTAATTCATCGGTTATATTTTTGAATGATACTGTAATTCAGTAAGTAGAAAATTTCCGATCCCTCGATGTAACGTTTTCTGCCACATTAATATGGGATGCCCATATAAACGAGCCTTGCATTGCCCTCTCTAGAATAGTTGGTATTATTTCTCGTCACAGGCATGTTTAGTCTATGAAAACAAAGCTGGCTCGATATTTTTTTTTTTTTTTTTTCATTCATATTTAAACTATTATTTCCTTGTTTGGGGAGATACAACAGTATCTAAAAATCACAAAAGCTCATAACTTTGCAAAAGAAAATGCTTCGTGTTTGTACAAACACCCTATACAACTGCCCTACTAGTCAGACTTTCTTATTTTAAAATTGTGCCTCTAAACAATTTATTTGAATATAGATTAGCCCGTTTTTACACAAAAAAATAAATAATTGCAAACAATGATTTTTTTTCTTCAAGTTTTGTAGTTTATGTGCCCCATTTTAACCCCCTATGAAACTGAAAAAGAATATATATATATATATATATTACATACATATCTTTTTTTTTTTTTTTTTTTAGTGGTTAGATGCAGAACGAATTACGGTTTTGCTAAGCCGAGTTATATCTCCCCTAAATTTTTTAATTCTCCCTCGTGCTATCTTTTGAACCAAGTCTTTTTCTACTCTTCGTAACTACTTTTTGTGACTCACTATTGTTTCAGCTGTATGTTAATATATTTATTTATGTAAATATGTAATTATTTTGCACAGTACTATAGGTGTGTGTTTTCACTGCTGACTTGTAAAGGGTGGTGAGGTTCGTCAACCAGTATAAACTGCTTTTTTCTCGCCACCCTAGTTTGTCGTTTTGAACTGAATAAAGGTTCATTGATTGATATCCGACAACAGTAATATACCGCTTCGGTTCCCAAGCTTTGACGCAGACATGGCACACAAACAATCGCATCCGAGTCACTGTGTGCCATTGTAGGCATTCTGAAAAGCCAAGATGATCAACGTATCCCTAAAATTTCAGGGGTCGCTTTGCTGCTACCCGGCCAGGGAACGCATGGGTAATTTGAGGGACACTGTGAATGATAACACCCTGTGAATGATAACCAAAATAGTATCAAGTGTCAACACAATCACCTTGCAACCACACACTCATCTTACTGCGACCTGAAAGGGGAAATCACTCGCAATTCAACTTTCCATTCTTCAAGCCAGCTACAAAATGGTCAAGTTCCTCACTGTCAGCTGCCCGCCCTCCTCAAGAGGAATTCTTGTACTTCCTGGCCTAGGAAAGGAGTAACCTTTACCACCGCAAAATGCACTGGCTCGCACTCATTCGAGGAGATGAGACATTCTTGCAAGTAAGACCGCTCTCCAACGATAGGGAATGAATAATAAATGTGTTCGCTTCGTCCGAGGGCTGCAAATTGGAATTTTACTCCCAAAGAACATATCAATGGATCCTTTAGAGTGAAAATGAAAAGAGCATAAGAAGTTCAATATTAAAAAATAAAATGCAACTCTTCCACAAAGTTTCTGAGCATGCAACAAGTACAAAATAGACACACACAACTTTCCAAGTAACTGACTCGTTTGTTCTGGTGTGAACATTGAAAAAGCTTCGGGAAGACCCAATTGAAATGTTACACAATTTGGCATAACGTCAATAATAAATGATTATGATAAATATTAGCCAAATTCTGCAGAATTTTACACACAAAAGAATAAACAAATAAGATGGAGCATGAAACACGACATCTTTCAACTAGCAACAAACAAGCATGTAACAGAACCACTCCCAAAGGTGTCAACAAATCTTAGGAGAGAGATAAAAAAAGGGAAATGTGAACTGGAAAACAGATAAAACTAAAATATATGCATTTTGTGCTTGATAAACGAAATTAAAACCTTAAAAACACAATATCACATCAGTGTGGGAAGCAGACTGGAAAGTTTAGGTTTAAGAAATTAAACTTCTTTTTTCGTCAGCGAGTGTGATGGAGCAGAAATATTGTTGCAAACCGTACAAATAATGGATGCGGTTTGCAATTACAAAACAACAAATTAAAACGAAAATTAGTTACATACCAGTACCCTAGCCAGGAATTGTTGTCGGGGGGGGGGGGGGTGCGGGGTGAGGTGGCTGGGATATCCATGACTTGGGGTGTGGAAATGGAGAGGGGGTCAAAATGCAGGTGTATATATATTAGAGGGTCGGCTGAATTTCCGGGGGGGGGGGGGGGGGGAGCTGAAGCCCCATAAGCCCCCGCCCCCCGGCTACGCCCGTTACATAAAACAAGATTCTTGTTTGTTGCTAGTTGAAAGATGTATTCTGTGCTCCCCCCCCGTCCTATTTCTTCATTCTTTCGCGTATAAAATTAAACCTTAATTGTGTAAAAGGCTTGATCTATGTATTGGCCCACGCTGGTTTCTAGTCAGACAGCCCTGAATAGTCAGGTGTAGCTGCCCTGCACTTTTATGCTGGCGATTTCACTCCATCACTATTGGCACACAAGAGATTATTGTATTTCTTTCTAGACACCAGGGTGCTCGTCACCAAAGCAGGGTTTGGCATCTCAGCGAGATATGAGAAGGGCAGCAATGGTGGCTCAAATTTTAAATGCGCTCAAAGTGTGAATGGGCACCGAGGAAATCATTAAAAAGCAAGAGGCAAAGCCAAAAGAGATGTTGAGTAATGCTGCTGGAACCAAACTTCTCTCAGGCACCTGAATTGAAAAAGCTGTACAAACTTTCAGAAACAATATGTTCAGATGCACTTGAACAAGGAACTACAAAGAAATGTTCAAAATTGCTTATCTCAACCAGCCACAAGATAGAGACCAAGCAATCCTAACTGATCTCTAGAGAGTAACGCAGCGATTTCACTCAATATGAGTTGTTCAACTCCACCCGATACATAAGACCTCATCAACTAATCAATTACAAACCAAGTCGCCTGCAGCATAGAGTTTGAGTTGAGAAGTGTGGGGACATTGGTTACTTGCCCAGTGATAGAATTAGTCGGAATATTCTTGGAGCACCTTTCGGAGCATAAGCACACACTTCACTTTCCTCCATACCATTGGAAATACTATCTTAAGATTCATGTGTTGGCCTGTCAAACGGAACTGAAAGACAATGTCGATTTTGCCTTCCCACTTTCGTGAAACCTTTTGTTAGCATCAGTTGCATGGCAGGTTTGATTCCCTCGAACACAGAACACACTGCTTAGTTGTGCGTAGAAGCAAAAACAGGGCAACTAGATGCCGATTGATAAATGTCAGTATGAACTACAGAGCACAGTTATTTTTGGTACAGAATCAAGGATAAAGCAAATAGTATATTCCACTGAAATAATTTTAATAGAATAATTTAGTGCACCGATATTGATTTGTTCAAGTTCTAAAGGTTCTAATAAAACTGCAATTATTAAAATAAATTTAAAAAAGCTGTTGTATTAAATTATGGACCGCAATAACATTTTATATGGAAAACTTATCAAAAATCGCTATGTGATATAAGCCTTTTTAAAAAAACAATACCACCAAATTCGTTACGGTTGTTTCCAAGCTTCCATTCACAGCTCCAGATAATATAGTTTCAGCATACTCTATTGACTGCGCCATCAAACAGATATGAAGTCACATAAAGGTAGTAACTAAGCAAAACTACTCGTAAATGTACTCGTCTGTGTTTTGTCCTACGTTTTATACTTTCTGTTATCTAGTACATCTTACAAACACGCTCGTTAGGAATATACGCAAGTGTTCACAAAAAATAAACCAATGGAGCAGTCCATACAAATCTTTTAGCAATAATCAATTATCCTCGCTAAATCTCTAAGTTTAAAAAGATCTCGTCAAAATATTGCAGTCCATTATAGCCTATATAATAGCCACAGCTTCATTAAAAAATCGCACGTCACATCCCGCCCTGGAAAGGTGCCTTCCTTATAGCAGGCGAGTGCGCTGTGGCGAAACAAGATATGCAAAACAATGTCCATTTTGCGATTGTCGCTTCACTGCAGCGCACCAGTGAGAGGTGAGAAGCACACTCAACGAATTTTGCTAACCTGCTATACTCCATAGAGATAAAGCCACAAGCTCGTGCCAGTAGTTTTGACAGCGTTGCATACAAGTATGAAATGGAGTATTGAACAAACCACACACGAGAAATATTGCGAAACTTCAGAGTACTGTCAGTGCTTGACAGAGATGAAATCAGGTAGTACAGCATTTGACGCTATAATCGAGTCATAAAAATTTGCACAAGCCTACCGTAACAACCTCGCCATGTACCGGGCCCAAGCTATCCCATTTTAAGTATTTTAAATTGACTTTTGTTGCAATGCTGGTACAGATTCGACAAATTTTGGCAAAATGTAGCACAATGAGGCAGTGTAAGCACTTTGGCGCAGCTTGGCACAGCAATCACATGACTGAGTGCAAGTATGCGAGGAAAGCTGTGCATCGGTGGATCCGAATTTTCGCACCAACAGATGCAAACAAGTCCCGAGTAAAGAGGAGTAAAGAGCGAGCAACAAAACCAACTTGTCCAAATCGCCAAAGCACTTTATCTTTGCTATGAAACAAGGGCGAGCTGGCATTCTTTGCGGCAAAATGGACCTCACCTCCATTGACCAGAAGCAGTTTCCGGACCATAACAACAAAGCAACACCTAGGAAGGACGAAATAATAATGGATCAAATGGTAAAAAACCAATTTATTATGGCATGAGTTCATTTGTTGCTTGTAAGGTACCTATTTGAGAAGAATCAAAGTTTTCAGAAGGCAAGATAAAACATCATGCTCTAAAACTTCCCCCCGCTCCCAACAAAAAAAGAGAAAAAAGAAATGGGACAATCATAGTGCCCGTCAACGACCTCTGAAAGAAGAAAACTATTGGGGTGCTCTACATCAGATCTTCAATTTAAATCATTAGCTAACAAACATCCTCAACAAAAAAAAAAAATAGTGCAGCACAATTAAAATCATTGCAGAAAACAGCAGCGCCAGAAGGGTTTGCACGATGGCCTTCCCATCAGGGTCATCTCTTGAACACAAATTTAAAAACACACGCACACACAGGCAAGTACAATCATCTCTAAGACTTTTAAAACAGGGTCCACAAGCTCCAAAACCTGCGCGTCATAAAAAAAACATTCCACAGAGTTGCGTCGACAGGTGCCTCAGTGGATGCGCACAAAGCTCTCGAGCGACACGGGTACCTCGCCCACGTAGGCGATCTTGCGCTCTATGATCTTACGAGCTGCCAGGCAGCGCAGCGTGATGTGCTGGAGGGGATTGACGATGCACTCGCCAATGCCTGCCAGCATGCGGTGCGGCTGGTTTCCGTTGGCGTTGCGCCGGTCCAGGTGGGCGCCGTGCGCTAGCAGCACCTGCACCACTGCCGTGCGATAGTTGTTGCGCAGCGAGGCCACATGCAGGGGCGTGCTGAGGCACTGGTTGGTTGCCTCGATGTCAGCACCACACTCGAGGAGCAGCTGCGCCACCTGGGCGTCTGGGAAGATGGTTGTGTAGGAGTCCTCAAAGAAGGCCGTGGGCTTCATCGTGTTCATCTTCGTCACCACCAGGTGGAGCAACGTGTCCCCCATCGAACTGCGTGGCTCCTGCGCCAGCGCGCGGGCCACGAGCCGCCGTACGGAAACGTCTTCTTCCTCGCTCTTGGGAAGTGCGTGAAGCACGAAGAAGAGGTGTGTGAGCACCTTGAGGATCTTGTCGAAGTTGTCCAGCTGTCGGCGAAAGACGGGCTGCACAGCCAGAAGCTCCGCTGTCTCGGCAAAGCGCGCCACCAGAAGCTCCGTCGTGTGCACCACGTCTGCCAGCTGAAGTTGGTCCCTTAGCAGGCCAGCTTTGCCCTTGTCGTACATGTCCAGGTACAGGCGCACAAGCGCCATGGCAGCTACGCCAGACTCCGTGTGAAGAAGAGTGTCCTTGCAGATGCGCAGTTCCAGGGCATACTTCCAGAGGTCGATGCAGCGCTGGTACTGCAGGTTGTCCGCGTACGCCGCGCCGCGGTACATGAGCCGGAAGATGGTGTCCTTGTGGTATGGCCCCAGGATGCGCTCGCATATGAGAAGAGACTGGTTGCGCATGGCGTCCAGGTCGAGGGCCACACTGTCCAGACCCTCGGCGGTTCGATATTCGGCGATGTGCATGAAGGCGGCCCGGGGCTCCGCGGGCGGCGGCTTGGGCGCGTTCTCCCGCTGCCGCAGCTCCAGGGCCCGCCGCCAGTAGACCAGCGCCGTCTGGACGTCGTGGTGCTCGTCCAAGAACGTGGTGCCCATCAGCTCGTCCGCGTCGGCACGCCGCGCGGGGCTGTAGTCCACCGTGGCCATGAGGTACTCGAAGATCTCTGTGGCCCCCTTGAGACAGGCTGTCTGCAGGGCGTCGTCGCCGTAGCGGCTGCGGATCATCGGGTCTGCTCGCTGCTCAAGCAGCAGCCGCGTTGTGTCGAAGCGGTGCTCCTGGATGGCGTAATGCAGGGCCGTCTTGAACTGGACGTCCTGCGCGTTCACGTCGGCCCCGCACCGCAGCAGGAACCTGCACAGGCCGACGCTCTGCACCGAGTTGATGAGGCAGGTGCCCCCGTTATAATTGGGCTTGAGGATGTCCGCGCCGTTGTTCACCAGGAACATGACCACGTCGCGGTGAGACATGAAGCAGGCCGACCTCACGGGGGTCGAACCCGTGTCCGACACGCTGTTCACGTTCGCGCCGTACGAGACGAGCTGCTTGACGACGGCCAGTTTGCCAGCGACCGCGGCACACCACAGCGGGGTCACGAAATGGATGGAGCGGTCGTCGGTCACTTCGTAAACACCTCGCTGCTCCAGGTCGGCGCCGCACACCGTGATGAGGTACTCAACAATGTCCGCGTTGCCCTTCTTGCAGGCCACAAAGAGTGGCGCACAGCCTTCCTGGACTCGCGAGACGATTTCTTTGCGTTCCTCGCGACTGAGACGCTCCATTTTGGTTCGAACCAGGTATGACAAGCGAGCACCTGGAGGAGCCAGCCTACACTCCGTGTACAAGTCGTTGAATATGGCATCTCGTTGGGAGCTTTGGTCCGTCTTACCTGTGATCCACATGTTTAGAAAGGCTTCCAGCTTAGACGCGTCGTGGACAACTGACCAGGGCCAAGAGCACCACCGCAACCAGGCCGTCAACACGACTACCAACATCTACCTGTAGCCATCTTTGGAACAATCGCTGCAATCACTCTGAACTGTCTGAACGCCAGCAGCAGCAGTCAGGCCGTCATTTGAGGGGAGCTCGAGTCGCTACGCGGCTCTCATTGGCCCACTCCGGTCACGTGCCTGACCAGCCTCTGGCAGCAATACTTCAAGCTGCTGTAGCCCTACTATGCCCTGCGGTGCCTGGAGTGGCAACAAACTACGTCACATGAGCTAGAGTGCCATGTTATCAGATGTTGCGATCCTGGCGTTTGGCAGTAAAAGCACTAACAAAAAAAAAAATGTGGACGCTAGGGTCGCTGTCGTCGCTACGTTCTGTACGTCCCAACTCCTAACTGCACTGATTACCGCGGACTATCAATCTGGATAGCAAGCAAAAGCCGAACAGGAGTCTGCTGCATCCACCTCCACTACTGTACCACCGCCAGGATCGCAGTAGACGACAAGTTGTCAGAGATGTGACCTCATCAGGCGGAAATCGAGGGACCACAAATGATGGCGCGGTAAGCACACGAGAGAAGGGGTGAGGAACTGGCACTGCCAGCTGTAACTCTGCCGTACCGTGCAACGTCGCTAGCGTCGCGTCGCCACCTAGCTTGGGATATTCGTCCGAGTTGTCGCCGCGTACTCGTCCTTGACCACCAGAAAAAGTAGCGATTCAAGTGCTTCATGTTCCTTCTCGCTGTGTCACCAACGCGATAGCAGAGCGCTGTTTACGCCCCTTTTCCGCAACTCAGATAGTGTAGTCTGTTTAGCCAGTCCTTGGAATTACCCTCGCACACTCGAGCTATTGCGTATTATAGCTTTGCGAAATCGCGTCACGCAGCCAACGCGCAGCTGTGTCACTTTGTTTTCATGTCTATCAGTCCAGCCAGAACGGTGCCACCGAAGGGCACGTGATTTGTTGTCACACGTGCAAACGGCAACAAAAGAAATTTCGTCGCCCTTTGCATCGTGTCGGAGATTTTCGATGCTTGCGTTGGCCGTTGCACCCGCAAAGCAAAGGTGATCGAACAAAGCTCACTAGACGGGGAGGCTTTAATGCTGTTGGTCATAATAGTTACTTATCATTTGTTTGTTCGATTAATTTAGCCCGTGCACTGCGAGCGTTTGGGTGCCATCATAAACGAGTCGTGCTCGAACTTCCGAGGGAGCGCGTGTTGGCCGTGCGCCTTTTACTGCGGATGTTCAGGTCGTGAGCACGAGCTGTGGGTAAAGCAACTTCGTGTGCCATGAGCAACAGTTTGGCGGTGCGAAAAATACAGCCACTGCCGTGTGGTGAAAAATGCTTTGTTGTGTACAAGCGGCACACGTTCGCTGCTTAAGTATTTTCATGTTTTACCTTGCAACGCAATTGTCGTCGCCGCTCACGGCTCCTGGAAGAACCGCCTCTGTCCTGGCGTTGCACTTAATGCTTTGTAAGGGTTAGATGCACGTTCTTCATGGGTCCGATTTTTGTCTTATATCGAGATCTACGAGCAGAAACTCCCGCTCGACGTAGTTTTGTCCGAATTCGAACGTGAAACGGGATGCCCCACTATCGGCTGCGTCACCATCTCAAGATGAACACCTCTGGAATGCCTTATCTACCACTGGTCAAAGTCCACTTTCCAACCGCAGACGGCGTCCAACAGACACCGGCAGACACGTACGTCATCAGCTTAACGTCGCCAAAGCTACGGACATGTCTGTGTACGTCTGGTACTGCCGATGGTTGCTGGGGTCGCTGACGTCAAGGAAAGCCAAAAAGCTGTTTGTCGTACATCAGCGATTCTTCACATTATAAGTAATTTACAGTGGATTATATTAAAAATAATGTGTTACCAGTATCTATATTTCGAAGCGAATAATAAATACAACAGTCTCATATATGCATGGTTGAGTGACCTACAAGTAAATCCTGCTGGCAAATGTATGCTCGTGCGAGTTTGCATCCGACTGACACATACAACATTGTCATACATGCATAGTTGAGTGACCCACAAGTAAATCGTGCAGGCAAATGTATGCTTGTGCGAGTTTGCGTCCGATTAACAGGGTGCACGCAGTGGATCTTTTCCGAAACGAGCTGGAAAAATCGGCACCTGCTGAAGGCTCAAACTTTCACCGAATGTGCATTGAGGTGGTCAGTTTTACCTTGTGAAATTTCAGGTTCTCTTGCTGTCAAAGTTGAGGCCAGCAAACTTACCAGCGGCAGACGTGTTATGCAGATCGACCGACCTAGTTCGACCGAAAAGCACCCCTGTCAAATTCTCCATTCTGTGAATTGCCCCATTCAATAAATGGGCTTTCGACGAGTTGGCTGGATTCGAAAGGGGACACCCGTCACAATCGGCCATTACCGAACCTCAAGTTGATCAAAGTTACACAGTTTAAAACTCGTCAAGAGCTTGCTTTTGTCAAAGGCAATTTGGCTAAAAGCATCAATGCCAAGGTGAACCAAACCGTAGTAATGCCATCCACCGTTGTTTCCTAAAAGTTTATTTAACACTCGAATACAACCTGGGAGCAAACAGCTTCATTTGCTTGCTCTAAGGTGAATGCCTAAACAGGAACTCTGGAAGGTCATAACATCACATTCTCCCAAAATGATGCAACAGCTTGATCCCTACCACTGTTTTACAAACCAGTGGTTTAACACGCCACGAATATTGGCTGTGACTAGAATGGACAGTTTAACGAACTGCATCCCCATACGAGAATAGAGCACCTTGTAATGTTATGCTTAACAATAAACATACAGCATTTGTTGCAGTGCATGCAGCACAGCTGGAAAGACATGTCGTGTTCCAACATGTTTTAGAAACCGGTGAAAACCTGCCCCCAGACCCATTTATTAGGCCGAATTTAATGAGCAAATCCAACATAACGTCCCATGATGTTTCTAGCTTTTATTTCTAGAGTTCTTTGGTTTAACATGTGCTCCACCCTCTGTCTCACTAAGCTCCCTTCTCGAGAGAGCATTCCCTTGGTAGCCTTTGAGATCCGAGGTATTATGATGCACGCAATGCCTGCAAGATCATTAATGCTTGTAGTGAGAGTCCTCTTAACAGACAGCTATGTGGCAATGTTTTCACTCAAAAAAATTTGACCATTTGTGAACAATGCTAGTCACAAGCTATAGCAAAGACACTACAATACTGGCAGCAACATGTCGCTGCTAAGTATTTAAAACAGTACCTTGTGGAAACTGCTGGGACCACAGAAAAATGGGAGGGCTTCATAGGGTTCCAGAACTCAAGTATTTGGAAAATATAGACATATCTGGAGAGAGCCCCTGCCCCCTTTGCCAACATTTCTGATGACCTCCCAGCAAAGGCTTGGGCCCAGAAAGCCAACAGTCAAGTACAAATATGCTGACATCACAGTTTAGCCTAAATTTGCATTGATAGTAAGGCACAGTAGTCCACAATATAGCCAGACCATGGAGCAAAATATTTCAAAGTGGTGTTTGAGGTCTTACTGCGAAACCATCCCAAACTGCTTATCCACAACACCTATTGCCTCATTTCTAAATAATGCCACATAAAACAAAGTTTATAAAAAATAAAATGAAATGGCCAACATGAAACATTTTCAAAAAATAACTGAATCAACTGCTCATTCATTTGGTTTTCAAGGTAGCTGAAGGTGATTATATCAATAATAATTTGAAACGGTAAAAAACGTTTACTGCAGCGTCGATATCTTGGACGACTTAAATGAACATGAAACCTTGCATGAGCACCAAAGCATAAAAAATAAACCACGAAGGTCTAGGAAAAACAACCTTGCTGTCACATAGTACTTGCAAGGCAGCGTATGCCCTGGCTTTGCAATGTGCCAATTCAGAGTGAATGCCTCAGCCTCCGCTCAGTTTCATGGATTGTGAGCTATGCAGCGCAAGCTTCAGGGATACCACCGGCACAACAGAGTGCACAATTCACGAGCCGCATACCGTGACCCTATATCTCCCCTACGAGATCAGCTGGGCACAAGTAGGCGAGCACACTTGCGACCACTCGGGCCACGACGAGCCTGCCAGCTTCTCAATTGCCCACAATCTCGTTGGGGTAGGGGCCTACACAATTCATGTAAACATCTTGCAATTCATGCAATGGAGGTAAGGGGTGTAGGGGAGCTAACGGCCCTAGCTGCTGCATATGCCTACGCAGCTATGTCCGAGAGTTCAAGGTTATCCATCATACCAGCCATCACGATAATTCTTCAAGTATCCTTCCGAAGTACCGCCTCAAGGCAAGAATAAAGCTAGTCAGTGGAGGGGTGGAAAGAACCAGAGAGGTTAAGGAATGTGTTTGGAGAGCCATGTCTGTTGAAAAGATGCTTTAGAAACTCATGATCCCTTTAAGCAGAAGTTGCGAGCACGGTCATCTAGCTTGAGGAGGTGTCCCCATGCTGTAAAGATCCACAAAAAATAAGAAAAAAAAAATTCCCGGAGCTACAGGTTTGTGGGCATAGCTTGTGTTATAGTCACATCAAAGAAATGATTCCAGCAATATATGAAGTGCATTCAATTAGTAATCTGCCAGCGTGTGATAAGTAATCATGAATAAAAAAAAAATGTTTTATTTGACAACATAGTGTAAAATACTGCGGAAGTGCCCACTTCGTTCAAGCGCCCACTATTTACATTTCCCAAACTTGGGAATTCTGCGAATCATACGTTAAATGCCCGATTTGACCGGACAAGTGCCTATGCCTAGATTAACCTAGGGTGCCTTCATGTGCGCTTCGCATAGAGTGATGCCAACTGCCTGTTTCCCTTTCCCACACCCTCTTCCACCGCCATTTTGTTCCTCATTGTTTCCCCGTGCGCCGGAAAGTGGCCTTTGTGTCCATCGGTCCTCCCATCCGAGGGGGGAAATGCTAATACTCCCTCCGTGGGTTCCACAACGCTGCTCCGAACTTGTGAGATAAGGTGCTTGTTTCCGGGAGGGTTATAAGCCCCCCGGATTATTGCCGAGACCAAAATGGCTGCTGGTTTGTCGGCGAGTGGTATTACAAAGGGTGGCATCACCCTAGCAAAGCGCATATGAAGGCTCCCTAGATTAACCCAGTTTTGACTGAAAGTGGGGTGGGTGCTCCCGCAGTATCTTACGATAGTCGCCTTTGAACTTGCCATTCCCACTACGATTCAAACATGCTATAATTCCCTTAGTGTAAAGTCTAACCTCCTATCCTTCCTGTCACTCGGAAACCATATACTCAGTTCTTCATCAAACAATTTTAAAGTGTCTGCGTTAATGTGCTTTTTCAGCCTCTTTTGATGCGAAAGCATTAACTGCCCTATGGAGCGAAGCCGGCGTTGTCTGTAGCAGCGAAAACAGCACCTGAATTCCCATTGGCCAAAAGCACAGCAACGCAGCTGCTTCGTCACGGAAGCCGGCAGAGCGCTCAAGGTCGAAGCGGACGCACCTCCGAAATAAAACACAAAGAAAAGCACAGCAACGCAGATGCATCGTCACGAAAGCCGTGGAACTAGCGGGGCACTGCGCCTGCGCAGTGGGGAAGCATGATGTCACCGCCAGAGCGCCGCGTCAAAAAGGAAAACGTGGCGTGCTGCTTGTAGGAATGCACTGCATGTAGGAATGCTTTCACATTCCTACATGCAAGCAGTCTTAAGTGTCTTTTTTTTGTTCTTTTGTTCCCTTCGTACAATTATTTTATCACCAGGTGCTATAACTCGGGCTGGGGCCTCGTCTGATGCCTACATGCTTAATTTTGACCCAGCACCCAAACCCTTGTCTGAAATAATATTTCAATTTAGAAACTTTATCTTACGAGTTTTTTCTGGTAACTGAAGTGGCCTAGCTCAGCCGAAGTGGTGAAAGAAATGCTTACATCAAAGTGGGTTTTCTGGAAACACCAACAAGTTTGCTTTTTCATTTGCCAAGGAGACAGAAAGTTTTGCTTTTTGCTTAAGAAATCAACATTTTGGAATCAAAGTGGATGAGCTGTGTCAAGTTCGAAGGTCACTGCGTTAGAAATACAAAATTAGATTTTTCTCTCAGAAAGGGGGCCCGGCCTATCAGCCTTTTAAAGGGATGGTGAACCGAAATCTGGATTCCCCAAAACACGTGGCAAAAGCGTGCAACGCGATGCTACAAACACCAAAACATCACCCTTACAGCGATATCTCGAACAGATGACAGTATTTTTCAAAAAAAGAGCCGCATTTGGCAGAAATGTTGAAGTCATGTTTCTCCGAGAAGGAGAGGGAACGGCCTCGCGTCTTCTCCGCCTCGCGGCTTTGAGGGAGCGATGCGAAAAGAGGAGGAAACTAGGTATCTTGACAGTCACGCGCCTCGTCGGCCTGGTTCAATCTCGACTTCTTTTTCCAAAAATACGGCCGTCCATTTGAGATATCGCCTTACTAGCACTGCTGTAGGGATTGTAGCGTCCCGCCTACATCTCCAGCCATAGTTTTTTTTAAATCCAAATTTCGGTTCACCATCCCTTTAACCCCCACACCAGACTGTGCTAAGGACTAGCTTATTGCCTCTTATCATGCCTTTTTGTTTTTCTCTTCTTTAATGTTTGCTATTACCATTTAGTGTTCACTATTACTAAAGTGCCTTTGGTGTTTTTGTGGCAAACGCAATCACGGACATCAAGCCCACATTGTTTGGTGGCATTGCTATGGTCCATGGTTGCCGACGGGTGTGATCAACAAGTTTTGCCTCCTAGGCCGGGACTTTTTTTATTCATTGATGAAATTGAAAGCAAGCTACATTCAAATGAAAGTTTGGAATCTCCTCTTTCCCAGGAGCACACAACTTTTCAATATAGTCCCCACCGGCAGTGATGCACTTCCGCTACGGGAGCACTACTGTCCGCATGCCGTCGTAGATGGTTGAAACCAACGCCGCGCTGAGACCAACGCCGCACTGGAGGAGCTACAGTTCCAAGATGGTTGGCCTCATTCACCTTACCGCCTGGACCTCGTGTCATCAGACTTTTGGCTGTTTTCCAAGATAGAGGAACATCTAAAGGGTACACGGCTTGCATACGACTACGAGGTTACCGATGCCGTGTGCCACAGAAGCGGCCACTAGGTTCAAAAGCCCACTATTAACACTGCCCAAAGTTGAGAATTCTGCAAATTATATGTTAAGCGCCCAATTTGATCGGACAAGCGCCCATGTGTAGATTAACCCAGTTTTCAGTGAAAGGGGTGGGCGCTCCCCCTCGATATTATGGTATATGCTCCTGGGAAAGAGGAGATTCCAAACTTTCATTCGAACGTAGCATCTTTCAACACCATTATTGAATAAAAAAATTACAGGAGGACACTTAAGACTGGTTACGTGTACGAATGTGAAAACATTATAGTCCCATGGGTGAAATGTTTTCAAGTGATGTTTCTACACGTATTAAAGGCTTCACGGCTTCCGTGAGGAAGTATCTGCGTTGCCATGCACACATCAAGGACGGCGTTTAGGGGGACGTCGAGGAAGACGTCAAGAACGATACCCAGGATGACCTCTAGGACGACCTTTAGGACGACTTAGGGGACAACGTCGAGAAAGACGTCCTAGAGATCGACGCCATGTACGACGTCTAGGACAACCTCTAGGACGACGTCAAGGACGGCATCTAGGACGACGCCGAGGACGACCTCTCGGAAGATGTCAAGAACGACCTCTAGGACGACCTCTAGGGCAACCTTAAGGACGACGTCGAGAATGACGCCTAGAGGACGATGTCTAGGACGACGCGAGAATGGCGTCGTCCTTGAGCATTAATTGAGCGGCACGTGCTAAAGTCAGCCCAGCGCACACCCAAGTCCCACCCTCCTCCTGCTCCGCCAGCTGTTCGGCTGGCCCCTTAGCAACAATGACACCATTGCTATGGAGCCACATGACGTGTTGCAGCCAATGGGAATTTAGGTGCCGTTTTTGGTGGACAGACAGCGTCGGCTCCGCTCCATGGGACCAGTTAATGCTTTCGCATTAAAAATTACAGCCTAGGAGGCAAAACTTATTGATCACCCCTCGTACATGAAAAGCATGGGCTCTGCCAGATGCTGCCATTCACAGTACCGTTATTGTAAAGCTTCCAACACATTTCATGTCATGATACTTGGAGCGAGTCCTGAAACCTAGTTTTCTGAACTATGGGATGGGTGAATTCTAGGCAATTAATTCGCCCATTACTACTTTACTCTTAACCTGACATACTTCGCAGTTGATAAGGTAATCCCGAAGAAATTATTTCTTCCTTTCAAGTGCCTTTTCAATAGTTGGTAAAACACCCTGTATAGTTCTTCTCGTGAGGATATACGACATGCTAAGGCGGGCTGCTCGGGTTCACTCATGACATTTGGCCAAATCGAAAGTAACAGAGGAAACCATGAGTCTCGAATGCAGAATGCTTCAAGCATTGTTCCTAAACTACATGCCACCCGTTTGACAGCCCCTTGTGGCCAACGAGTGCACCAATGCAAGACTCACAAATACAAGGTGGCAGAGGAAATTCCCACTGCTAAAGATGAACCTTGTTTTCCTGGCAATGTATGCTTTGCTCGAATTCTCAGAAAGCTACAAGTGTAAGGTCTCAACTTCATGTTTCCTTCACCTCAAAAATCGTAGCAGAACCAAAGCTAAAATCAAGTGCCTGTCTTAAAATGTGTCAGGTGTGCAAGTAAAGGAACCTGCTTGAGCTACGGGTGTGGTGCCACCACTAGGCAAGTTTAAAGCAGTACAACGGGTGCACCCACTGTGTTAACACTCAATCTTTTTTCAGAGCTATCGGCTTCAACTCAAAGCTACTGCCAACATCCTGAACAAAATACAGGCAAACTAGGCTTTTGCAGCAGTGAAAGGGTTAAAAGGTCAGCTACTTTAAAACATTGCATACCTGAGGCTGCATTGCACACGATCCATAAAGCAGAGTATAAGCATTTCATTAACACCCAACTACAAACCTAGTATTTCTTTGCACAACATGCAAAATGACATGTCTCTAGTAAAAAGAAAAATTCATAAAAACTATACTGCAATATTCAGCTTCCAGATGTTAAAAAAAAGCCAACAACAAATAAAGATACAAAGTTTAGCACCGGCCATCTAGATAACCTTTGCATAGAATAGTGTAAGGGTATGTTGCATCTCAGTCACGCGTGTGAGCAAGTGATGCACACTTCTGGCAATCTTGCAGCTGGATAGCTGCTTGGTGTAGCAGCTCCGATGGTAACTCACTTTAAATCTCCACGGCTAAACAGGACTCAATGAGTATTGACCCACGTCAAGAAAACACAGCTATGAAGGAATCCAATGGGTGAAGCCAAAAATAAAAACCACAGTTCCACCACGCCACCCCCCAAAAGAAGAGGCAGCGACAACCGGCACCACCTAGAGGGAATATCACAAAATGCACCTTCAGCCGCATCGTCCTCCCCCGGCCAACACAGAGTGAGACAGCCTTTGCTGCACACTGCGGATTTGTTTCATCAACAGAAGGCTCCGACGAGGCAGCACTATTTGAGGTCGAAGATCTCAATGAGCAGCGGCTCCACCTCGCGTGGATTCAGGTCAACCAAGATGCTGACCTGGTTCTCGTTGAGCGTGCGCATGTCCTCGAGGTTCCGAATCAGCTGCAGGAAGACAGAACGGCTCTCGCAGCCTGTGTAAATGGTGTCTAAGTAACGCCTCAGCAGGTAGAGATAGGTGTCCTGCTCAAACGTGACCACATCCCGATGCACCAAATTCGGTCGCTCTGGCGTAAACAGCGTGATGGCACTGAGCAGAAGCATAATGTTCTCGTCAATCCGCCACTCGGGCCGAAAGGCATTGATGAAGCGCTTGTGCTCTTCGTACACATTGCCACGGGCTTCCTTGAGGATGTCCAGCTTGATGGACATCAGTCGCGGGTCGGGACCTTTCCAACAGTCCCGCTCGGCGTCGTAAGACATAACCGAGCGAAGCAACATCAGTTCGGTGCTTCCCCCCTTGAGCAGTGCCACCTGGTCCTCCTGGCAGAGGCTCTTGAAAGCAGTGATCCGCTTGGACATCTTGATCAGGCGCCGGATTGCGTGATCCGTCATGTTGATCACGTCGACCAAGCTTGGCTCAGGGTCGCAAGCCAGCGGAACTTTCAGTACCTCGTTGGCTGTCGCGAGCTCCTGAATCCGGTTCGTTTCCGCTTCCGTGAGCACCTCCTGGGGTCCCGGATACGTCGCTCGGCAGAATTGACTGCGGATGGCTCGGTCGTGGGCCAGCTGAGAGCCGCACTGCTCCCCGGACCGCCTGCGACTCGGCAGCTGCACCGAATCCGAGCTGCTCGATTCTAGCAAGTCATCCGAGGACCAAGAGTCCGAAGCGCAGGGTCTGGCACTCTCCAGCTTGACGAGCGGGCAGCCCGAGTGGCGGCTGCCTGCAGGAACCTTGGAAGGGCCGGCACTAGCATCCTGCCCAGATGCTTCAGAGCCTGGCGACACGGCCTCTTCGGCGTAGCGAGCCACCTTGGCCGGTGAGCTGTCTTCGTCTTCTGTGACACTCGACAGAGGGGTATTGGGAGTGCTGCCAACGGCCGCCTTAGCTGTGATGCCATTGCTATTGGAGCAATAAGAGTCAGGACGTTGGCCCGGGGGTCGTGGGTTCAGAGCCCTCTTCAGACGGTTCTCCTCGATCTTGGCACGCTTCTCCTGCTTCTCAGCTTCGCTCAGGATGCACTCTTTCTTCATGCCAATCGAAAAGCATTTTTGCAAGCGGCATCTTTGGCAGAACCTCCGAGTCCGTGTGTTCACCTCACAATCATCCTTGAAAAGACAGCGGAACTCCTGTTGAAGAGAAAACAGTCCATTGGGTTAGGGCAACAAAAACCAGCATAGTGCTGCCCTAATTCTTTGCACTTACATCTATCCACAAAAACGACCAATGGATGCATCCATGTGGCTCTGTCAATGGCAGTGACAGAATTCCTGCTCACACTTTTTGCATCGTTATGATGCGAGGTGTGAGCAGACACATCTAGCACGGTTTTTACACGAACCGAGCCCACCTGCCCACTCTCCCACACAGAACATGGAGGCCCAATTTGTTGCAATCTACAACGGACCAGCAAATCCAAGACCAAGAATATAGTTACACTCACAAATGAGATCTGGACTCAGATCCTGAGCGTGTCCACTTGATGCACAGATCCCCAGTGCTGAAAGCCGTTTTGAGCCTAAGTGGTGTCTAAGCCTGCTCGTTTACTGATCTCCTTCCAAAAATCGCGACAATTGCTCCTCTACGTCTTGTGCGGGAGAGTAGATGTGCAAGTATGGTTCATAAAAAAGCTGCACTATGTTCTTATGAAACACGGTGATATGATGAAAAACTGAGAAAATCACTTTGTCTCATTTAAGTTGATATCTGAAATAATGGAAGGGTCCATCAAACTTAAAAACAGCCTTTATGTGACACAATTAAAGGCATGTTGAGGAACCTGGATATTTTGAAGCGTAATAACACCGTAAAATATTGAACAAGCACCAGCTCAAAATTTGGAGATAACCTTGAAAAACTGAGGGATGGGCATTTGTTAGGCTCGAGAGCAAAAATGTAGATGGCGCACATGATAGGGAGGGCTTTACTGCTTTGCACTCATGCATGCACATCAAGCTTCACCGCTTTGCACCAGCACACACCACGTCAAGCCTCACCGCTTTGCACCAGTGCACTCATGTCAAGCTTCACTGCTTTACACTGGTGCATGCGCATCAAGCTTCTCCATTTTGCACTGGCGTGCACAGAGGAGTGGTCAATGCGGCAGCCCCTCCCACAAAGCACTCTGCTTGTCGTGATTGGTGGATTCTTCCTCTCCACTCGCCTCCTCTCTAGCATTTCCTCTGCTAGACTGGAAAGAGTGGAGAGCTTTGTCAGAGGCGCTTGTCCTGCTATTCTCAACACGCAATAGATTCAGATGCTTGGAGTGGGCACTTCACATCTTACACATTTTTTCAAACATTTCCAAAATAGCGGGTGGGTGCTTATTGTGACATGGACACATGCCGTATTTCATGGTAGTGCTTCAGCATATGACAGTTTTCTGGAGTATTCGTAAATATTAGATAGCTGACTGCATGGGGCACAAGGAAATATAACATGGAAGCCTTTTCTTTTGAGAAGCCTCTTGTTTACTCCGAGGTAGTGATCAAAGCCACATACTCTGACAACTTTATGTGCATTCAGTTTGCCATGTGAATACTAGTCCCAAGGGATTTCTGGTCATATGTTTTAGCATACAGTATCGAGGTAGTGCTTGCAGAACAAACACTTCACCGTAGGTCCCTGGAACACTGGGCTCAATCTCTGCCAGTTTTAATACAGGTGGACATACTACCGACATGCAGCTGTGTAATAATTAATGACTCACAGTAAGCAGTCTTAGCGCACCAGCTAAATTTCCTTGCTACAACGTTGACCTATGGCTAAATCTTAAGGGCAGACCCACCTCTCTCCGAGTAAACGGTCACGACATACACTTTTCTTTTGAATATGAATCCGGCACTATGTCATGAATCCGGCTCTATGTCACCGAGTCATATCTTCTGTGTACAATCATGCGCACAATTAATAGCTCTGTGCGATAGAACATTGATCTCTAAGGGGTGATGAACTATCAACATGCATTCAAACTATTTCCACCAGCTTGCCCATCCTCAAGGGTCTGGCTGAACCCAATAAGCGCTGTGAAAAACAGGACACAGCAGATGGCACGTTTCCTCACAGCAGATGAAGTGTTTTCTACATTCACGGCATATGCCATACTCCGGTCCACTTTCATACATTTTTCTTGCCGGGGGAAAGTTTCTCTCCGCTTGCGTCCTTGGACAGAAGCTTAGAGCGCGCTCATCACGTGGGCGCGGAGGGCCACTCACACGCTCTACTGACTGTCGTCCAGGCCTCTGCTGTTGTTGTTGGTCCCAATCTCCCGAAAACAAGAAAGGGGAAGGGAGCACACCGGAGGAAAGCCGTGCTGTTTGTTAGAAAACAAGAGCGGGCACACCAACTTTCATGGCATATGCCGATGCTGTGTCGCAGCAAGCCATCTGCCATGTCCTGTTTGGACACCACTTTAAGTGAAATGAGGGACTCCAAAATCGCCAGTGTGTACACAAAATGTGAGTAAAAAGAGGGTTTTCATGAATAAGTGTGTCGAGGACAAGTGTGAGAGTTCCTATGAGAGAGAGAGAGAGAAGGAAGGGGAGGCAGTCTTCTGTACCACCCATCAGCTCTGAGCCCACAGAGGTGCATCAACAGCTAGAACAGTGGTTCTCAAATGGAGTTCCGCGGACCCTTTGGGGTCCGCGAAGGCATTGTGGGGGCCCGCGAGGCCCTGCCTCATCAGTCAAGCCCGGCAATAGAAGTTGCCTTTTTTCAGATTGAGAAGAAACATTCCAATTTTCAGGCAAGGTCTCTCGTGTGTATGTCAATGAGAGAAGTCTACTTCACACTAGCCCTTAGTTATATCCAAATATTAAATCATTATCATAATTAACCTATACCTTTTCTTTCCTCCCGTCACGAACCGGGTCCTCCGTCATCTGCACCAATCCACAAGGGGTCCGCGAAACATCAATGGTTCAGAACCACTGGGCTACAGCACTGCTCATGATAAGCAAAATCAAATTCAACACACAGATGCACAGAAATCCCCCTTCCTCCTCACATTCCAGCCCATGTTTGGTGTGCCCTCAATGCAAAGGTATCCACACAACTGGACTGCCGAAGTCACCGACATCCGGCGAGAGATAAGAGGTGCGGGTGCCCCTTGAGCTCTACGAATTGTGGAAGATTCCTGAGGCAATGCAACTTCCACACCCGTCACTTTTGCCTGAACCACGAGGTTCCCCGAAGTTTATTTTACATTAGGGCCACTGTCTAATGGAGGGACCTAGAGCAATGGCCATAGCAAGGCATGTCCTAAAAGCCTAAACGCTGGCTGATTCCTGTAATTGACACGAAATGAACCAGCAAAGCATGTAGCCTCCAGTACTTGCTGTGCCCCTGCTGGGAGGATTGTGTGCACCTTGGTGTCGCAAGTCATAGCTGCGCACAGCCGCCTTGCGATTTTATATGAAGAGCTCTACTCTACGGTGCCCACATCGATTTCCAGAGACTTGAAATCCACTATGGAGATTAACCTAGGTATATGTGCCCACCTGCTGAATTGGGCGATATGTCTTGCTAGAGGGTATGTGCACCATGAAGGTGAGGAAAGATAAAACTCCATCAACTGCCACATAGAGTTCAAGAAACAGCATTTCAGGAACTTCAACGCTTACTTAAAACGGACATAATCGAACCAGGCAGTGCATCAGAATGGATGTCGCGTGCAGAAAAAAAAGACTGAAAGCTACGACTGAATATGTTATTGTGCTCTAAATAAAGCAACATATCAAAGAGCCCCAACTTTGCTAGATTTATCATGCCCAAAAGGTGTGAATTGCTAAAATCGGCTTTAAATCTGCACCCTTGACTTTATTTTTATCAGGTATTCGGACGTCTTTTTTTACTGCCAAGAATGTACCGCTTTGTGCAGGCACATTCTTCTGGTGGCCATCTGGCAACTTCATAACAGCACAGTACTATGTGACTACAGCACCAAACACAACTGAGTACAGACCTGGCAAAGAACTCATGCAGCCTGCCACAATGTCAAGTGCATTTCTGTAGAAAACAGGAACACCCGAAAACTTTGCTGAGGTCGACCTCATCTACAGGGGGGCAAGGCCGCCGACCCTTGGCCCCCTGTACAGCCGCTCCTGAATTCGTCGTAGAAACCAACCTCACCTACAAAGACAAGTGACTTATTGTTTCCAGCACCATGTAGGTTGAGATCAAGAAGAAACTTCATACATCAGTCAAGAGTATAGAGCAGAAACTGAGCAACAAGATGGCAAACTTCAGGAGAAAATAGCTACCTCCACTACAGCAAAGAGATCACGTCTGAATGCAACCCATAGAGACCAGAAATGCATACGGGACAAAGGAAGTCATACACAAAAAGTAATACACGTCAGATGACGTCGAAACACACAATAGAGTTGTAGTAGTTCCATGGAACAAAGCAGCCTAAGTAAGGTACCAGCAAACAGGCCAACAATCATCACCAGGAAAACAGCCCCATGGAAGACAACTGCAACAGTGAGCCACGAATCGTTTTTGTGGTGTCGGCAATGAAAATTGTAAGCCAAGCGAGGGTAGTCCTACTACCTGGCCTCTTTGTGAATGCTCAAGTACTTGAAGTACACTTAGAATTTCAAGAAAATTTTAACTCGCGGCGGGGTTCTGTCTCTAGTAGTCGCGTTGCTCTGGGGCCTCGGGTCCAAGCAACACTATGAAGAGATGACTGAGAACAATGGCCACCTTTGCATAAGATGCGTTTCCGGAACCACCGCTCCCCACTTTTCTCTGGCCTGTTCGATGGAAATCACAGAAAAGTGGTTCCTTGTTTTTCATCAAAAGGCATCGCATCAGCAATGCGAGATTAACACTCATTAGCTTAGCTCAGCATGCTCATCCAAGATCCTGTAAACTGCAGTACCTTGCTCGGGCATAAATGAAACTGGAAATAGAGAAACAGAACAAAGGGGAAAATGGCACCATCGAAGAGGGAAGGTTCTTCTACAAGGAAGCTCCCAAGTGTTCCAAAGCGTTGACATCTCTCTCCAACTAAAGAGGACTCGCATCATGGCCTGGACAAACTCAACTCCACTGTGTTGTGAAAAGACAGCCACCCTGGTTGCACACACTCTCACCTTCAAAGATGTTGACAACAAAATGCAAAACCGTTTGAAGAAAAACAAGAAGAATGAAAAAAAGTGAGGCAGCGGGTGGGAAAACGGGGGCAATCCGCACAAGGGGGGCAACATGGCCGTCTTTCTCCCTACCCTCACCTTGCAAACGGGACTGGGAGTACCTTTCTGGAGATGCACAGAGGCGCAGGAGATGTTAGCTATCGCGCATTGTTTTTATGTTTTGTACCTGGGCCTTCACATTATGTTTTTGCTTCTTTGTTCACAGCTCCAAAGGAGGCAACGCCACCCAGTAGAACAGGCGTGAAGGAGAGAGGTGGGAGGGCCCATCCACGTGTGCGGCGGGAACTGGCATGGCTTGGCAGCCGACATGAGAAACGGAGGAAGGGGGACTAAAGGCGCGAGGTTCGAGTTGCGGATAATTTAGGTGATTGGAACCTTGTTACTTTGCGAAACTGTCGGTCATCGCTCTTCCAGCATTCACAGATTTCCCTTGCTGCTCCTCGGAGAATGACACAACACACTGGTACACATATTTATTTATTGACCGTTATTGCCGCACACCACGACCCAAAAAGCTCCTGCGCATACTTCAACACCGGCCTTTTTATCAGCAGCGGAGCGCCGCTCCCATGGCCTTTCGCTTGGCCACTTCGCGGTGGAAATGGCCAGACACATTAACATACGGGCGACCTGGTCGAACGCTTTGGACCACCAGGTTGCCAACATGTTTCTTCCTAATTTTTTATGTTTGTTTGTTTGCTTTAGCGCGTGTGTGTGTGTGTGAGAGAGAGAGAAGAGGGAGACAACTTTGTGTAGCTCAGTTTGCTGATTTTTTTATTGTTTTGTGCTTTAAATTGTTTGTTTGGATGGGAATTTTGAAATGACCAGTTCAAGGCACATTAGGAGTTTAGCCCCATGTTGCCATTCAAAAACCTAGTCCAACTTCCGAATTAAAAACATGCTTTTCATGTAAGACTAGTAAAGATGTTAGACACTGAAGAAAATCAGTTATCTATTTTAACTCCTTAATCCAAACTCTTTTTGTTCACATCCAGACTTGTGCCTATCTTAAAGGGCAACTCCGCTTCATTTTTGGTTTTGAAAAAACAGTGCAGTCCTCTTCAGTATCGCCTAGGAAGACCACACGTGAAATGTTACGACACAGTTCTGTCTAAATGTTTCTTAAACGGTCCGGCAAACTTTGCAACTCGCCAAGTTGCCGAAATCGGCTGACTTGAGCGGGCGAATTCAGGCGCAACCAACAGCACAGTCAAGGCTAAGGCATGGGCGGAGCCAACATTGAGCTAAACGTCATTATCATGGCCCCCTTCTGCTTGTTTTCACTTCTCCGGGCGAGCGTAGCGCATGACGTCAGCAACGTTGCCTCTCGGCGCTCAGCGGTGTCCACGTGATTGGTGTAACGCTCCTGTGCAGCGCGTTTCTTGGAAGCCGTCCGGCCGCCCACCGTGGTCCCGCCATTACCGCCATCTTCCGCGTCACAACCGCCGTCGTCGTCTCACCGATTGTGATTATTGTCTCTCAGAGTTTCGTCCACACTACGGACACCACGTGCGCAGACTTATGCCGCAGTTGTGCAGACGTCGTCGAATGCCGTAGACACCAAAACGTGGCGAAGAGTGCGGTGCAGACGACACTCGTGCCTGCCACACGCCCGCCCCAATCCTGCCCGTCGTTGGGCCAAGGATCACGTGACATCTCATACCACGTGATGGCCATGTACTTGGCGACCCGAGGCCAATGTTGCTGGGCGGAGCCGAAGTTTCGGTTTCGATTTCCGTTCGTGTTTAAAATTAGATTTAAAAATATATATCCCATTTTTCGCGAAGCAAACGACGTAGTGTGTTTTACTAGGGCTTTTTAATTCGAAATCAATCATTATCCCGAAATCTTCGGAATTGAGCGGAGCTGCCCTTTAAATACTCTACCCAAGATTCTGTATTGCAAATACTTTTGGTAGTATTTTGATATCCTGCAAATACATTTAGTCTAGAGTATTTGCTACTCTATCTTAATTACATTTATCACCATCTTGTGCTCACTCAGTATTTCAAATACATTTTGCAACTTTGGGAAAAATTAATTTTTGCCAAAAAATTTATCGAATTAGGAATTGCAAACTCCAGGGCAGAGCCGAACCGACTGCAAATTTGGAGCCAAGCGACCAAACACAGAGCAGAAAACAAGGCACAAGTAAAACACGTCCTCCAAATGCCAACAAAAGACCAAATAGATAGCCCCAAGTACGCCCGCCTCTATTTGTCCTTTTGTCCACCTTTTTTATAGCTGTCTATGAATGGCACGTCACGCTTGCAGCTAGCAAAGCGCTGGTGACGTCATCCGGATTTTACACACAGGCCCCACTTTTTGTCTAAGCTAGAGTGGTTCCGTAAATGGAGGATTGTGATGTCAATGCTCGGTACAATCACAATGAAACATTTTCGGAAATTGCAGGTTTAGGAGGTTCCAGTATGAAAATGCACGAACATGTTTTCCTAAGAGCACAGGCACTCCCTCAAACAAAGAAGCTAGATCTTGCTGGCGCTATTGAGCTGAGTGACCTAAATTGGGCTTCCCTAAACCTCCTTGTGTGCCTATTGTGGCCTAACTTTTGCTCCAAAGCTTGTTTGTTTCACCTTCTTCTAAATGCGCGCATTGTTTCGACCTCCAAATCCTCAAGTTTTGCGCAAGGTGGAGTCATTTATAAATTATAGTCAATGACAGGTTAAGAGTACAAGGGAAGCTCCTCCCACCCCTTTCCACTTTAGCAGGGCAAATACTGGAGAGGAGGTCACCTCCTCTCCAGCATTCGCTCTGCTAAAGTAGACAGAGGTGGGATCAGTTTCCCCTGAACTCTTAATCTGTCACCTGCTATAGTGGATTCTGATTCTGGTATCTTGACCATCTTGACCTCAGTCCATAAAGAATGGTTTGAACTGGTGCAGAAGGGAGCAGAGGCATTCTAGAAGCGGTTTTGTGGACACTCTCCTGTCTTCCTGTGCTTCCCACATCATCTTAATATTCTTTGACAGGTTGAAGGTACAGGTGCTCCTTCTCGCTTTCGACGGTTGGACAAAGTACTCGCTAATGGCACGTGTCTCGTTCAGTCGCGTACTCACCAACAAGTCTGGCTGCTTGATCAACTTCTAGTTTGGCTGCTATGGATACGCAATTAATGCCGGACTACATGTCAAGTCCCCCGAATCATGGCGGGACATATTACAAACTTATTGCGAGATGCCCCATGAGCCGAGCCTGCTGTCAAACTAAACCACCGCAGCTGCCATATCTACAATACATGAGTCCCGTTTGATCCTCAAATATGTGTGCATGTGTTCTGTTGCATATCCCGAATTACTTCAGCATAAACTTCCATTGCGGCAGTCAACACGCTTCTTGAAGGTTATAGACATCACAGCAAAATGTGATAATCATCACAAATAAAGCATACCTTCCTGACTTTTTATTCTTATATTTCCTGCTTGCAAAACTTGCCAAATATCTTCGAATGTAATTCAATTACTTTTTCAAAGTATCTGTACTCTACTCAAGATGGTTCGTAGTAAAAGTAACTTAAATACTACTCTAAATACATTTTTAAATGGGTATTTAGTATCTTATCTTAAATACTTTTGTTGAGTATTTGGCACAACCACTGCATTCTACCCATTGAAAAGTACACCAAGAAACCAACCACACAACCTGGAGCCCTAATCTACACGGCGGGACCAAGCGGGACTGGGACATCGCCATCTGCTGCGATGGGTCAGTGCGGCGCTGACCAATCGCAGCAGGTGGCGATGTCCCAGTCCCGCTTGGTCCCGCCGTTTAGATTAGGGCTCCAGGTTGTATGCCTGGGCTCTTTTGACGCGCTTTTTGTAGTATTTCAATTTTTCGTTAAAACATCTACAGTAGCCAGATGGCGCCACCAACCACCATTGGCGCCTGTGTGCTCAGGCTTGCACCTCCGTGGCACCAAGCCCCATGTTGTTCACCATTAATTAAATGGAGTACGGCGCGAGGAACCTGCCGCGTCAGACGTTTCTTTCTTTCAGGGCTCTTCCCGCCCCCGGGCTCCACCGGTCACCACTTCATTGGTATGCGAGACCCTCTTCAGTTCCGCAGGCCCGCGTGGGCTCTGCTCCTCTTTATTTTTATGGGTTCCCGATTTTTGGCGACGAGTAATTACAACATTTTTGGCAAAGAGTAATTACAACACTTTTCAATGGGGAGAATGTGAACAAAGATTTGTAATAAGGAGTTAACGGAGATGGCCGATTGTCTACAGTGCCCAACCTTTTTACAAGTCTTACAAGAAAACCATGTTTATTGGCTATCCAATAGCCGGGTTTTTTTTTTTGTTCTTGGAACATAAGTCTAAAATATTAAACTACCCAGTTAAAATTAGCATATATAACAATTTGATATGAAGAACTGCCCCCTTATCAACTGACATATGAAGAATGGGTGCTTGCCAAATGGGCTGTGTCCCTTTTAGAGTGTTTGGTATGGAAGATCTGGTGCATGACAAAGTTGTAAGTTGCCAATAAAAGCGATCAGGACAGACTAGGGCTTCCCTTTACAAAACTTGTCAGGTTCAGGACTTTTTCCTACCCGGCCAGGACGGGTCAGGCCTACAAATTCCAGCCCATGCAGTGCTCTAGAGTAGCATCCACAGCTCGCCCTCCAGTCTATCCCCCCCGAGTGTATTTCCTAGTTACCTATTTGTGCATGCTTGAAAGGTGCGATCACACATTTGTGTCGAACACGGAAACCAGAATACCTTGTTCTTTATGGCATTCCGCCGAAAGAAGGCCTTGCACGATTCGCAGGTAAGGGCGCCAAAGTTGTACCCAAAAGCCTTGTCACCGCAGACACCGCAAAACTTGAGTTCTGCTTTCTCGGCTCCTCCTGCCATCTTGAAAAAAGAAAGAAAGATGCACCAATAAAAACACAATATTACGGCTCTTTACTTGTGTAAGCCAAATTCACCTTCCCTATAACTAGGCTGCAGACTTCAGTTCTGTACTTTGTTTTGCAATAGACTGTTTTACTAAAAGGGGGTGAGAGAGAAGTCGGAGAGGGCTGCTGCATGCTTTCCTGCTCACTGGGTTGGGCCAAACAGAGGAAAGATGCAGATGAGTCCGCTGGATGTGTGTGTTGCTCGAGTATTTTTTGCATTTTCTTGTTCTTTTATTTTATTTTTGCCGAGCTTTTTTTTTTTCTTTTTTTGTACTTCTTTATGTAAGATTTGTCAACGAGTAGCTGATGATCGGCACACCATTGCTCGAATAGGTATTGTATGAATAACAACCGAAAGCCTGAAACAATATGTCAAGAGCTCCCGTGCAGGGGAGCCATCAAGGCATGCACGGGTGACGAGAGCCATCAAGGCGAGCGCTGGTGCAAAGTTTTTAGGCTTCATTGCCGTTTAAATGATCAGGAACTCCTGGGTCAGCAGGTTACGTTAATAAATCTCAAGTTCTTTCCCAACGCCATCATACCGAGTGTACTCGTAACATTCTTTGAATGGAATGCACACCGAGTTCTACCCCACAGCTGCACAAGCAACTATTCGTCCGTTCAGTCTCCTACACACCCACACATTGTGTAGTTTACCTCAGGACTGGTACACTTGCCTTTTTTTCTTTAGAAAATTGAGGTCGGTGTCAATCTAAGGCAGATAAGAAGCACTAGGCCTAATTTGTCAGCCGAGACATCATTTTTCAAATTTAGCGTGACTCCGCAGCTCGGGAAAGCTCCTAAGTAAACATCCAGCGTGACTCAAGATAGGGTCCACATTCTCTTTCCCAACTTTATCCGTGTGACCCGGATACATACGTGAATTCTTACGACTCTTTAGTGGAAGTATTGCCGGCTTTCTTTGAAGCAACAAAAAAGACATGATTGAAACCGGCATTTTTTTTTATAATTACCAGTAATTAAGATATTGAGTGCACTCTTTGGCCAATGAAATATTTGACCTGGGCATAATTTGCAAAGTAAAGGGCTGTGCATTACTGGAGCCTTATGTTTATATCTTGACTGCGGCAAGTTGATATGACTTGATAATTATACATTACTTAGTAGCCGGAGGATTATTCACACTGCACGGGCACCGATGAAATTTGTATAAAAGTTTGTTTTATCAGCTTTTCTGGATCGTGATTTCCAGCAGGATTGCAGAGAACCGGCAAATTAAGTTGACCGTCATTAAACAAATGGATATTCCACCTGTTATGCGAATAAGTATACAACCTCCGTGTAGTAAAACTGCTAACATGTAAATTTTCATTAAATGACCTGCAATTATAAGATGAGTTTAAGTTTCCAATACCGAAGCAAACTCATGCACAGATTTCAAACAACTGAACCCCCGATTGATTCGCATTCACAACAGGTCCACTTTGAAGCACTTGTTTTCGCTTGTCGACAACCGGCACACCCGTCGATACACAATTTTCGAATATATAGTTTATAAACATAAGAGCTAACAAAATAATGTCAGCAATTATATGTGCGAGCAAACTCGAGCTCTTTTCATTCATTCCCTTCAGTGTAATAGCGGTAGTAATATTCCGTTCAGAAAAGCTGCTGTCACACGGGAAGGCGTGTAGCCCACGCCATGAACAGCTGCAGCGCAACATTTCATGTTTTATTTGGGGCGTCCTTCCGTTATGCACAATATATTTTCTTGTGCCACACACGGAACAACGAACAGGTTTTTGATGCACCGGCATTTACAAGAACGAAAACTTCAAGTGAAGCACGAAATTATTGCTTTGTGTCTGCTGCCACTGCTGATCCTACCACTAACAGCACAACATATGCCATAATCCCGGGGAAAAAAAATGTTCACAGTGCCTGTGACTGTAAACATTAATAAAAGGCGTTTCACCATGCGAACCATGGCACACGATAGCACATGCACCAGCGACAACCTAAGCACAGATTCCCCTGACTGGACGCAGAGCCTACAGCAGCGCCCCAAGGTCAGTTTTCGGCCCAACCCAGCATGGCCACAGAACCAGATGCACGCCAGGAGGTGCTACAGTATTCAACATAGCGCTGCCCACAAAAAAACAACCCATAAGTTGGTAAACGGCAAAAGCTAAGCCCAGCAAGCCAATCGGAGCATTCGAGCGAGTCACGTGACAATGTACCGTTGCAATGCACTGCGGCTATACAGACCTGGCACGTGCTTCGCTCCTTCACTAATTGCCAAAAAATATCTAACGGTAACACAAAAATATTAAATTGGCTAACACCAGAAAATGGCAATCAAGTTATGTATGTTTCTATTAGTTTAGTTGCTGTTTCAGTTTGTTCCTTGGATATAAAATGCATTTCGTTTAGCCTTTCTTATTTCTTGTTTTTGTATTCAGATAACCGTTTTTGTTTTCTACAGTTTAATTAACATGAGCGGGCCATTGGACCCTGGATCTGTACTGATTCAACTAGGGGTGCTTCGTTATCACTCGTGCAGCAGGCACAAGGCCGGCAATGCGAAAACACACATGATCTTATCATTCGCATCGCCGACCTCGAGTATGCCGCACGAGTGGTAACTTGAGCGCACACCCGTGCTTCCCACGCGTTTCAAGTCGTCATAAAATTGATTGATTTAGGGGTTTTCAGTGATGCCCAACAAGTTTCTAATTGGAACCATATGCTTATTTTCACTAATTGAAAAGTTTAGTAAATGTTGTCATTATTTTGCTAATTAGAATGTTTTTTTTTGTTTTTTTGCGATTCCCGACGTCTGCCGTGGCTGGCAGTTTTTTCTTGAAAAGAGTTAATTTTTTTTTCTCAACCACCCTAGTCTCAGAAATTCTTTAGTCTCTGCAGAAACAGCCGGTATATAGACTTCACTGTTTATTTGGGCACGGTCTTCTTTTTTAACCGGGGATCTACTTGGAGATTATCAAATTCTCTCGTATTTGTATCTTGTGTTTAAGCACTTTTCTAAAAAAAAGTATTGGATTAGTAATTAAACACATTTTTGTCAAAGTATTTTGTATTTGTATATCGATACATTTTTGCGAGTATTTTGCCCATTTCAGCCCATCTGACCTTTGTCTGGCTCTTCATATAAAGTAGCTCCAGTGTGAATTGCACTGGACCCAGACTCTGGTTGTGAACAACATTTTCCAAGAGAGTATTGTGTGCTGAGAAAACCAGGCATATAAATTGTGGAACTTCAATAATAAAAGAAAGAGGACAACGATGTCTGTGAGGTGACCACTTTCACTCCATGTATATAGGGCTGCCATCTTTCCTTCCAGGAAAAAATGGAACCGGCACGAGAGGAGGGGTGGGATGAACCGCTGCCATGAAATAACTGAAAAGAACAGGCCGCAATGTCGGGATTGTTTAGCGAGTCAACTGGCGTGCGCAAACGTGTCCGTTGTTCCAACACCGTCGCCATGGAACACGCCTATTATACAAGATTGTTACGGCTGTGTGTAAACATCCCTCCTACGGACTATTTTGCCCTTCCGCACTGGTTACGGCTCTCAACACACGGGCACCTGAAGTTAGAGGATTACTGCAATCAAATTATAAAGGTTATTTATTGTCTAAATGTCAACCACGTTCTGGCTACACCACACAGACACCAGTTTTTTGCTCGAAAAGACGCAAAATGATTATTTAAAACAAATAAACCGAATGTCGTTATGCCACACTACCCATAAAAGCAGCAACGCTCCGCAGGAATATGGCAGCAAGCTGAGTGCACACAAGCCCTGTCAAACTTGGCTGAACCGGATTTCCCTTCTCTCCCACGTCTATTCAACTGCTGTGGGGAGCGCCAGGCTCCCTGTAGCCTTGCTCGTGAAGGTAGACATGACGTCACAAACGCGCTAGAGGCGCAAGATCTCACGAGACGCATTGCTCTCTGCGATGGCTGCTCTTCGAGCGCTCGCTGGAATCGGCCGTTTGGAACGAAAAATATAGCCATCCATTCAGGATACAAATGCAAGATTGTCATTAGCAGATACGGTTGACCATGTTTAACTAATTTCTGAATCTGAGAGCTATATTTAAATTTTGATTTCAGTATCCCTTTAAATATGACCTCATGTGGTGTAAACTGCCCCAAAGAGCAGAAAAGGTGTAAAAAGACAGTGTGTGAAAGAAAGAAGAAAACAGGAGCATAGAGACATTGCAGGGACTTCTTTTTTCTCATAAATCTTGTAAGCGCAATCTGACGAAAATCACTCCTCTGTCCCACAACCGATGTTTCCCAGAAGCCAAAGCCCACAATGTGGGAAAAGAAAAAGGCAAGCAGCGAGAGATGACCCAGCCCCTGCCCCGCAGGTGCTGGTTTGTCCGGCTTTAAAAATCTCCAGTCATGGTGGTTGAGCAATCTGATCCTGGCACACAGTAAGATCTTGACAGGCGGGCCAGACGATTGCCCAGAGACCTGTTTTGTCCCAGCCTCGCCGTCCTTTCTTCGGGGGAGTAGTTCTTGCACTCCAAAAAAATGCCTGTGTACCTTCTCGCAGAGCGTGCAGGGGGGCCAGTTATGTTAATCGACGGAGGAAGTTTAACAATGGGTCCAAGGAAACGTTTTGATCCAAACATACTCCACACAGGAATATTGAGTGCACGGTTTGTTTTTAGCACCCCAGCGATGTAAATGATGATATATGCTTCCAAAAGTGCAGCTGAGCTTTTCCTTCCATTCTAATAGCTACTTTTGCCTCCTCTACCTTTATTTTTTGAAGCAGAGAATTCAGGTTGGATGACGATATCCCCCTTAGATGTAAATAGACGTGGTTGCAGCAGTGAGTCTTGCAATGTTTCCCAAGGTTCAAAGCAATGTATACATGCATGTTTAGACATTCAGTAGAAGTACCTTCCTCTCAACAAGGGAATGTCATCGGCAGAATAGGAGATCGGTGTTTCCTTCGC